GAGACTGGATTTCATGAATGAATAAAAAAAAAAAAAATATATTTATATTTTCCAAAATATTTCGATTGACTTCACAAGCCTTTGTTAAACCAAGCAAAATCAATCTTTATTAGACTAACAACACAACTTCATAGAAAGAACAGGGTTATAACTAAAACATATGTGTTATATATATTTTTTGTTTATGTAATCGATGTAACGCCTGATCGATATGTAATTAATATTAATAAAATGACTTTTAACACAACAATTAGACCAGGGTCAGGGATCGGGTCAGGATCGCGCTCAACCGCCAAGTTTCCTCTTCAATTAATTATTTAATTGAGAGTACCCACTCCATAGAGACTGAATATGACACAAGAGGGTCTCCTTGCTCTAAGTTTGATTCATCGCTGATAAATAATTAATTACCTAATAGAGCCGGACTAGAATACTGGATCCAGAGCATAGATACAAAGTGTCTTATTCACTGATCTACCCACATAGAGAATAATGGAAAACTTTATCGATTGGATGGTTCCTTAGCTGAGAGATATCACCATGGACGACGGCTCCTGATTGACCGGATCCTGGCCGTGGACTGAGGGCTGCCAAGACTCAGATAAATATCCCGGATTAGCATCTTGGTCGGAGACAATAGGTAATAGGGCCATTGTTGCTAACAACCGCAACAACAATGCTATTGTCAGTTTTTGCTATCCGTTCTGCGCAGGGTCACTCCGGCCACAGGTTTGTCTTCACTGCTTCGTCCTATCCTTTCCAGATCATCATCTCTCTTTAGTTATTCATTTTTCTCTATTTTCTTATGTATTTTGCTTTGTGTTTCTTTAAAATATGTTAACTTTCGAAGGTCGCTCTCTGTTTCTAGTGGCGTCTTAACAATACTTTGTTATCAGCAAGGACCTGGGTTGTATGCTACAGAAACCATTATAAATAAATATGTGCTACCATTGGGTAGTTACTCAGCAAGTGTTTTTCATGTCATTATATACATTATGTTCTAATTTACTAGATGTATTTATTTAATACAGTTGTAAATGTCTTTAAGAAATAAAAAAAATGAATAAATAAAATAAATATTTCATATTATGGGCATCATGTTCAAGTAAGGAATGTGCAACGTTAAATAGGCTTTAACATGGTGTCGACGTTATAATTTGCATTAAATAGTACTATAATATGCAATATAGTATACAATCAAAAGTATAACATGTAACCAAATAGTAGAATAAAGTAATGAATATATATAATTTTAAACCATAAACAATACCATAAAAAATAAAGAAAAATAGTAAGGAGATGGTCCAGAGTGGCGGTTATAAATAGACTAAAATAGTGGAAAAAAACTATTATAAAATAAGGATGTGTTTATTTCTTCACCATATTTATTTAAATTTGCATAGCTACGTTTCGGTCGGTAAGCCATCTTCAAGCCATCTATATGATAAACAACATTAATTTTATATTTTGATGTAATTCTACACTCTATGAAGGTGATATTGGCCCTATTTAATTTAATATTCTATGAATTATAACTCTAATTAGGTTGAGTCAATTTTTTAAATTTGTAATTAACAGTACCTCTAGATAGATTGAGGTTCCTTTTTTATTTTTACAAATTAACTGGTACTGTTAATTACGAATTTAAAAAAAAATGTCCACCTGGACAAACGACTAACTTGGAATCCTCATACTAGACTGAAACGACAAGAAACCGCTCGACGTTTCCGATTACTTCAGCACTTACTAGACAAACGCTCTAAACTTCCCATTAATTACAAAAGACTTATATACTTGACTATAATAAGACCTATTTGGACTTACGGAGTTGAGCTGTGGGGCTCCACTAAACCATCGAATTCCTCTCGCATCCAATCCTTACAATCCAAAATCCTTCGTAAAATCCTCAACGCTCCTTACTTTGTCACTAATAAAATTATCCATAAAGATCTTAATGTTCCTTATGTTTCAGATCTGGCCCAATCCAGATACCTATCCTTCCATAATAAACTTCAGAATCATCCCAATCCTCTCGTTTCTAACCTTGCTTCCTCTTCAATTCCTGATAACCCTCCGAGGCGTCTGAAAAGAAGATGGCCCCGTGATCTCCTAATGTAGTCATATCATTAGAGTGCTACCATTGGGTAGTTACTCAGCAAGTGTATTCATGTCATTATATCAATTATGTCCAAATTTACTTGATGTATTTATGTAATACAGTTGTAAATGTCATAAAGAAATTAAAAAAAAAAAATGACTTTACCTAAGTAGAGTTATAATTCATAGAATATTAAATTAAATGAGAGCAATACCACCTTCATAGAGTGTAGGGTTACATCAAAATTAATGGTGTTTATCTTTATAGACGGCTTGAGGGTGGCTTACCGCCCGCAACGTAGCTATGTAAATTAAAATAAATATGGTAAAGAAATAAACAGTGCCTTATTTTATAATATTAGAAAATTTTCTACTAAAACAAGCACATGAAAAAAACCATTTTATTTAAAGCCAACGTTCCCACCCGACTTTACAGGTCTTCTTCAGGGCTAAAACGAGATAATGAAAATTGTGGAAGTACGTTAAGATAAGATATGTATTATATTCATAATTGCATATATTATACTACAATAATTTGCACCATTTATTTACTTCAGTTTAGGATCATGTTTCTTAGCTTACTAATTTTTATATAGCTTATTGTTCTTGATATTACAATGTAGTTACTGTTTATAATTTCAATAAGTTTATTCACCTTGTTCATAATTTTAATCTAAATATTATGTAACGTTCACAATTTTCTATATCCTTTTGTGTCTTGTCCGTTCTAGCAATGAAAAAGACCTGCAAAGTCGGGTCGAAACGTTGGCTTGAAATAAAATATTTTTTTTACTATTTTAATTTATTTATTACTGCCACCCCGGACCATTCCCTTCCTCTAAAATACACAACGTTCAACTGTTAAGTATTAAAAACAAAGAAATACAATTTAAAATAAAATTTATTTATCTAAAATTTGCAACTGCATTTCATGCTATTATATTCCTGAGTGCACATTTACTGAATGTATTTTTTTTAATGCAGTTGTAAATTTCATGAATGAATAAAAAAATAAAAATTATCATATTCATATTTTACGTAAGATTTCGATTGACTTGTTTCTAAAAGAACGTATTGTTTCATGCGGATATCGACTTGTATTTCTGAAAAAAAATTAAACGTACGTCATTCTGAACAAAGCTAATTAGTTTTTTGTAGATCCTGTAAAATTAGTGAAATTGAGTCAGGTGTTTATATGATGATATACTTTAGTTATTGCTACACTACAGCAACTATATTTAATATGATATACAATAAAGCACACACCTTAGATTTTTTTTTTATTTTTACTTACTGCTATATATGATGACAATAGATAGTATGAATAAAATCAATCTTTATTAAACTAACTACACTTCATAGAAAGAACAGGGTTATAACTAAACATATGTGTTATAAATATTTTTTGTTTGTATAATCGATGTCACACCTGATCGGTATGTAATTAATATTAATAAAGCAGACCCTACACGGTAATTCATGAATGAACGTCACAAGAAGTTCCAAGATTGCCCGCTATCGCTTTGATCATGAAGACCCTTACACGTTCAATCATTAATGATCATTACTTATCGTTGCTGATTGAGGTTAGATCGTTACTGACCAATTTAGCGCAGTTGTAAACAAAGAAACAGCATAGATATGCTTATTTGGACATTGTCATTTCTAATTTTGGGCATCAAAAGAAAAACGGAGATATAGTAATTACTTCCTAGTGCCTGAAAATCGTTTAGAGTAAAGTTAGTCCAAAATATAAGTCAACTACATACAAAAATCTATGAAAAGTATTGCGAAAATAATCAATTTGTTAAGAAAAATGGAAAAATTAATGGCAAATAAACACAACAGTTAAAGATTTTTTTTCTATAAGTAAATTGTGAAGTTTCCACTTTTTCTCTTCAATTTATTGCCTACTTGACTACTTAAAAAAAAAAAGTTGAAAATAGTTAATAATAATATAGAGTAGGGATATAAACAACTATTTACTTAATAACGAGACCTACATAAACTAACCTATCTAGTAGTAGTCTCATGGAAGGTTAGTCTCATAGAAAATCGGTTTTGACAAAAGTTAGTAAAATATAAGTCTACTATTTACAAAAATTAAGGAAAGGTATTGACTATTTAAAAGAAATAGTTGAAGATGGTTTAAATTTATAAACAAGGTACATGAAAAATTATTTAACTATTTACATATAATGAAAATCAGAAATTTATAATGGTTGTGAGGCTTAGGTAACCTAACCTATCACTTCTCGTGAATGAACCTTTGATTTCCGGATTTTCGGAAATCCGCAGCGCACCACCATCAGTACTTCATTCACTACCTTACACGACAATTCGAAACGTCATTAGTGCAATTCCGATTGACCGTGTAGGGTCCCCTTAAAATCACTTTTAACACATAACAATTCGGCCAGGAGGGGATCGAGTCAGGATCGCCTTCAACCGCCAAGTTTCTTCTTAAATTAATTATTTAATTAATAGTACCCACTCTATAGAGACTGGATTTCATAAATGAATAAAAAAAAAATTATATTTATATTTTCCAAAATATTTTGATGGTCTTGTTTCTAAATGAATGTATTGTTTCATGCATATATATTGTTTCATATTTCTGAAAAAAATAAAAGTTGGTCGTTCCTAGCGAAGCTATATATTTTTTTGTAGATCCTGTAAAGTTAGAGAAATTGAGTCAAATGTTTACATGACCATATACTATAGTTATTGCTATACTACAACAACTATATTTAATATTATATACAATAATAATATGTACGCGATACATGGATATATAGCTTTTATAATACGAATGATACATCTTACGACTGACTATTTCGTAATGGTATCTTTTCCTTTCTCTTCTATAACAATTTTCACATTCATGCGGTCGTGTAACTGGGTCAGCGATGCGCAAGACTGGAACACGAGCGAGCACCGCGGGCGAGAACTATGATTTCATAGAGTTTCGTATGCCAAAGGTCGCCCGATAGCCGGCACCTCAGGAGTCGGGTCAAGGCTAGGATGTTCTCCTCAAGATCGTGAGCAAGGGAAATCTCCCCTTCAAGGTCTTCGGCTTGTGGGGAGATGTGGGTTACAGATGTAAGCAGGATATGTGGATAATATGTATACATGCATTGTATGTATAAATATATATAAATAATAATAACAACAATAATCTGATAAGATATAAGTAAAAGTTTTCGTACAAGGATATTCTTTTAAAAGCTGTGCATTTCGACATCGCTTTAAGAAAAGGGGCCTTCAAACATTTTAGGCCTCGCGGACCATGGCTTGCGGTGACAAAAATATCGATATATCGATGTTGAAAACCATTGATGTTCAAAAATCGATGTTACCTACCCATTGTCTTCAAAGCATCGAATTTGTTTTTTTTTTATTTCTTGAAATTTAAGTATATGTCCAAAAAAATGGGATAAATAAAAATATAATAAAATAAGTTTTAATAAATATAATTTTATATCGGAATTTTTACTTGTTGGACGCCTGGCTTTACCAGCCTTTCATCTCTAAAGAAACAAATCTAGAAAATATAAGTTACTTACCCATTATTTGGCCATCGTTAAATATTTACTCTACCATGCTAGAGCTCAGGTGAGAAGGGGCTAGGTTGGATATTTTTATAAAGCAGCAAAAAAAAGTTAAGAGATCTATTTACAGAAAGAAATATTGACAGAATTAATACAATGTACAAGCATAAGAAATAAAATAAATGGAAAAAGAGAGAATTTATTCATAATTACTACATATAATTAAAGATAAATAGAAAGATAATAAAAAAAAAAAGATACTTATTCTATATACAATAATATGGCATGTCACGTATAGATATCAAGAAAAGATAGTCAAGATATAAGATATAAGAGCACATGCACATGCTAAAATAGTCACAGAAAACAAAAGAGAGAAGAGTTCTATTTTTTTTTTTTTCAATGCTTCCTTAATCTTGGTTACCAGTTATTTTTTATTTTATTAAGTGTAAAAATGATACTTATGGGAAACATAATTGAATGTTTGCAATTTCACAGCTCAATTTTCGAGTTTGAACTCATAATTCACAAAAGAATATATACCTCTTCTTTATTCGCATAAATTAGCCCATTAGACTAAAAAAAAAAAGGGAAAAGATATAAGTGTTCTGATGGTATAAATAATAATTCACAAAATTGTACTTTTCGCAGGTGCCACAGATATATTTTTTGGTTTATCCAGCAATCTTTTTTTATTTTTTAAATTTCAGCATGTTTTACATCATACCTTTATATTAAATTATGTAAAATGAGATCAGAACATACAGTTAGATCTTAAAAATAATAGGTATTCTTAAAATCAGAAGAGAGGAGATGCGTTGGATACAGCTGTTTATAATTTTTTCAGTTTATGAATAAAGTTAAAAACTTAAAAATATTTTGTAGTTTGTACAAACCTCAAAATAAAAATATTACATATTCGCAGTCTGACTAGTTATGTAAAAATCTCCATAAAATACATTATTTTTAAAATATAATTATAATTATACACCTGTGTTTCAGGATTAAATGGCCAAACTGAAAATATGAATTGAGGAGCTCAAAACAAGAAAAAATTTTCCTCTGAAGTTATGTCCGCAAATGCTTTGTTTCGGAGATATTCACACCTCAAGATTTTCGTTAAGAATTATTTACGTGAGAAGGAGTTGATCGGGGGGGGGGGTGCGGTAAAATTAATACTAAATTAAATAAGTAAAATTATTTAATTTTTGCCGACGTTTTGACCCACTTTGTAGGTCTTCATCAGGGCGTAGGATGTAGTACTGCGGGAGGCAGGTGAAACACTGGATATAATTAATTATTTACGTTATATGAAATAAATAAAACCTATTTATTTGTTCTAACTACTTTACTAATTAAACATAAACATTAAATTCATATTAAATGATGTTCAAAGTGATTTCTTTGAGCATTAAAACAGGCTCGGAATCTTTCTTCAACAGCAGCAGTGGCAGAACAGCACTGGATATGTGTTATTGTTTGTTGATCTTCGAAACTCGCCTTTTATATTCACGACGGGCAGCATTAGCATTACCATAGCAAAAACCGTATATAAACACCATATAGACATATTCTCCATTAGTATACATGGGAGGCATAATGATGAGTACTCTGCGAAAGCCTCTTACCTTACTGATAAATGTTATTGAGAGTTCCCAATGCTAATTCCAAAAAGTATTAATCCTTATGTTGCCAATAGTTTTATACAGTTAGGGATAAAAGGCCATATTAGTATCCTATCTAATCCATCTCCTAAACAAAGCGTTTGCGGACATACCTTCACTTTGAACAACATTTAATATGAATTTTAATGTTTACATTTAATTAATAAAGTAGTTAGAACAAATAAATAGATTTTATTTATTTCATATTACGTAATAGTCCATGGTACAGACCCCTTTTTATCGAATTATTAACATCCAAAACTCTTAGAATTGGGGCGTTTTTAAACTTTGTCTATTTAATTACTTACTTAAAACTCGGTAATACCCACCAGATTTTTACTTGGATCGTAAGATAATTGTGTTAAGTAATCACAAAATCTATAAAATTATTAGTCCGTTTGTCCTATTTAATCTCGTTATTTTGAAAATTTGAGCTTTTAGGTCACGCCAAACGGCTCAATATTTTAAAAGGCCTTTTTTTATTGATTCTGTGATCAAATTCTCTTACGATCCAAGCAGATAGCAAATGGGTATTTACGAGTTTTTAGTACTTAATTAAATAGACAAAGTCCAGATTGAAAACGTTTCAATTCCAAGCGTTTTCGTAAATAAAATAGTTATATTTTACCATATGATGATACTATTTACGAAGTTTCAGGCGGATGTCGCTAAAAAAGGGTCTATACCACGGACTATAAATAATTCATAACAACGAAAATCTTTATGTGTGAATATCTCCTAAACAAAGCGTTTACGGACATACCTTCAGAAGAATTTTTTTTCTTGTTTTGAGATCCTTAGTTCATATTTTCAGTTTGGCCATTTAAATCTGAAACACCCTGTATTAACTATGAACTAGTCTATATTGAATATTTTTTTTAAAAACTTTTATTATGATATTTACAACTGCATTAGTATGAATACATCAAGTAAATTTGTACAGAGAAATATTATTACATGAAACACGCTTGTTGAGAAACTACCCACTGGTAGCACTCTAATAATTTGTCTACATGAGAAGATCACGAGGCCATCTTCTTTTCAGACGCCTCGGAGGGTTATCAGGAATCGAAGAGGAAGCAAGGTTAGAAACAAGAGGATTCGGATGGTTATGAAGTTTATTATGGAAGGATAGGTATCTGGATTTGGCCAAATCGGAAACACATGGAACATTGAGGTCTTTATGGATTATTTTATTAGTGACAAAGTAAGGAGCATTGAGGATTTTACGAAGGATTTTGGATTGTAAGGATTGTATGCGAGAGGAATTCGATGGTTTATATTGAATATAAACAACTTAAGCTATGGGCCTATCAATAGCATAAGTAATAACTGATTTAATTTTGATCAATGTTAAAACTTTAATAAATAAACCGAATCATCATTAGAAATTTTTTTTTAAATAATTAAATAAAAGAAATTAACGCTAGATGTACGATTCATGTTTTAACCGTAATACCTGTCAAGTTATATTATATATTTGTTAATGTAATAAGTTTTTCAAACTACTTAGCCAATTTTGTATATTTTTGGTCTACTACTTGATAGCAGAGAAGAGAAACTCCAGTTTAGAAAGAGCAGATCTCCTTTTTAGAGTTTAGGTTAATTTATTCTAAGCAGTTTGGCCAACAGCTGACTAATGCTCTTTCACTATGCACGGCTTGCTCTATGCAAATGTACCGTTCTCTGTCTGTCGGCTCCAAAAAAAAAAGAAGAAAAAATATTTCCCTAAAACAGGCGCCAAAATAAAAAAAAAAATATGGCATATTATGTAACTCTGCCGGTAATTGGGATCAGCTTACTCACTCTCTCCAGAAAAAAAAATATATTAATATTTACAAAAAAATCTTTTATCCCTCGTGTATTGGATTACGCTACGTTGAAACAAAGAAATCCCTTTGAGTATATAATGGCTGTGAAATTTGGTTGGCATTGAACATGTGGTGAAAGAGGTTATATATAAATATAGTTTTATGCAATTATTATTTTAATTTTTAATTAAATTGCCGAAAAATTAATTTAAATTTTTTTTTAAATGAAAATTTCTTAAGGCACGTTTTGCTTTTTTTTGTGAAGAGTGAATTAGATTGATCCGTCAGAATGCACGGGTAAAGTCGACTGATTGAAATGATTTTATATATGGTTTAAAATATCTTTGAAACTAAAAATCCGGCCTGCATACTGTACGCAAGAAAATTATTCATCATTTCATTCTCTCTGTAATAAGCTATAATTCAAAATTTTATCTTAACGCGACGCCGTGTTAGAGAGGCGGAAAGAAAAAAAAAAACAAATGATAAGGAGGTTAATGGAATATATGGATTAAAATATTTCGGATACTAAAAATTGGACCTATATACTGTAAGAGGAGGAAATGTTCAGCATTTTACCTTTTTTTTTGTAATGAGCTATTATTCAAAATTGTATCTTAACCCAACACCGTGTTAGAAACTAGAAGAGGAAAAAAGATATTGCTCAAAACCAAATGATACAGAGTTTATGCTAATATATAGTACAAATACTAATATTATTACAACATTGAAATTTTATTTTGACAGAATTATTAACAATATATAAAAATAATAAGGAAAATAATATAAAGGATAATAATAGCAGGTGGATTGTTAGGCATAATGGAAAATATATAATATAACATTACATAACCTTCCAACTGGAGATTTCCTGATAAATATTATACTGTCGTTGGATGCAATATAAACTATTAAATATCACTAATTTACATAAGTAAATTATAAATCATTAAGGAAATTTTTAGATCGCCCTTGCTTTGATTTCTATATTATATGTAATAGAACTTTTAGGCTATACGGGATTTTCCCGGGCCGGGGAGTGAGGGCGAGGAATTTCAAATCCCCTCCGGCAACGGGACGCGAACTCGTACTTTTTAAATCATCTCAAATCTGTAATCCGGTTGCCAGGCAACTCGCGGTGCTGAGAACACGCTTTAGCCCATACGGCTACCCCGCCCCCCCCCAACTTTGTTATCAACTTAAAAAATGTCTTATTAAACTAATTAACCCTATCCTACAATATACCTAGAATACATGGATAAGTAAAGTTACTTAAAGGTGGCGCTCCACTTAGTCCTGTCACCAGTAATATCAGTGGGGAATATGAAAAATTTTACTAAATATCAGCTAGTGAACTAAATTATACCTGGAATACAATTTTCTTAAAATTTTCAGGGATTGTGTACCAACCCCTATTCCTTCTAAAAGCGAATGGAAAGCGAAGCCTATATTACAGTTGTAAGTAGAGGAAATGTAAGGAGAAGCGTCTAGCTCATTTTTATGAACAGCCAATCAGAACCAGCCTTAACCACGACGTGACCAGTGACGTCATACAAAGCCCCAAACCTCTTAAAGAGCAGAAAAACAAAATGGCGGCCAAACTTACAAACTTAGTCTCATAGAGAGAGGTTTGGGGTTTCGCATGGCGTCACAAGACTAGGTCTTTTTCGATCTTGTAGCCCCACATTTTACCACATTTCTAAGAGGATGAATGTACCCGGCCACCATCTTGTTTTCTTGCTACTTACGAGGTTTGGGGCTTTATATGACGTCACTGATCACACGGTGGTTCTGATTGGCTACTCTCAGAAGTTCGCCAGAAGCCTTGAATTTCCTCTACTGTTGTGCGGTGTTATATGATGTAAACTTAATTAGAATCTGTACGACGTACATTACACCTACGACTCGATAAAGTTTTTGGGGAGTTCGATTTATCGATCTAATTGATTTTATAATATTCCGTCAGCTTCTTTCGCTTAAGAGTGTATTTTTCCTTGACAAGACTATACTTCAAAAACTGCTTATTCTGTAGGTTTTATTCTTAAAAGAATAATCATAGACCTCCGAGTCATATGGTAATTATGTAAGCAATGTAAAGTGGTGGGGATGCGATGCAAAATAATCTATGACATCAAGTGGTCTATATCCACATGTTTTCCAACTGTCCCCTGGTTTCCTGACAGCGTCGGAGCAAGGGCATTTCGGCTGTCTTGACAATAATACCACGAATAGATTTAAAATATTTATTTATTTTTGAAAAAAAAAAACTGAATATTTCTTCTTTTTTTACTCTTATTGTCATGTGAAGGCAGTTTGAAGAGATTACCGACAGCAACAGTTGGGGAACAATGTTATCTTCTGTTTGAAGATAAAATTCCTCCCAGTTACAACACCTCGTAAATAGTCGTCCGTTCCGTGGCGACAGTATTTCAGTCAGAAAGACTCGAGACGTTGAGAAACGACTCGATCAAAATTTATTGTCAATCTCGATAACGGAATCGAACCTGGTCGAGGATAAATTGTGCCTTGGACGAAGGTCGCCATTGAGCAAGCTAAGTTCGAGGCCAAGGTTTCTGGGAAATCCTTCTTTCCTAGTTTCATCACAAATGGCCAATTAGTCCATCAGTTTCTATTGCCATTTTCTAACGTTCAATTATTTTTTTTTACGTATTTATTCTACTTCCTTGCATGGAGGAAAAATAATCCTATTATACACTGGTTAAGGAAGAAGAAAAAAATAATAACATAATATATAAAATTAATGGTATTTATAGTCTTAAAATATTGTACCAGAGACATTATATTTATCATTTGGAGGATTGTAAATAATCAGGATTTAATGGTTGCTAGTCCAAAAACAAGAACACAGAGTGGAATGGTGTTGGTGATTATCCCATAAGTTTGGGTCGAAAGATCGCATAGTGGGCCACATTTGGTGTGTGCTCTAATAATTCGACTACGGTTGCTTTGTGTATGGAGAGGACTGCCTGAAAGAATGGAGGTGAAATTGAAGAGACTCATGAACTGTTTTATAAGATTCGTCTTTGGAATCTCCAGACATTCTCATCTTTCCCACTGGTTTACTAGTTCGTGGCACATATCCCTTTTTAGCAAATTATTAACACCCTGCTGAAACTTCGTATATAGTTATAAAATAATATAAAATAAGACACTGTTTATTTTTTCACCATATTTATTTTAATTTTCTTAGCTACGTTTCCGCCGGTTAGCCATCTTCAAGCCATTTTATTCAACCATGCTTTTTGAATGTTGTACAAAGACTAATTAGACTTTAGAAAAAGCTAAATGATTGAATAAAATGGCTTGAAGATGGCTTACCGGCCGAAACGTAGCTATGAAAATTAAAATAAATATGGTGAAGAAATAAACAGTGCCTTATTTTATAATATTAGAAAATTTTCAGCTAAAACAAGCACAGATAGATTCGTATATAGCTTCATCTCATCGTAACCTACAAATATTTTATTGACGAAAATTCTCGGAATTGGGTCATTTTCAATCTGGAGGGGGGCAAACTTTGTTTATTCAATTAGGTACCAAAAAGTCTTAAATAAACACTTGCTTTCCACTTGAAGCGTAAGATAACTTCCACACAAAGTTGTGAAAAAAGGTGCCCTTCAAAAATATTGCTCTATTTATTGTGTCCTCCAATCCGAAATAGTTGAAATAAAGATTTTATATTGGGCAAATGGCCCAATATTTCTTAAGCCCACTTTTTTTTCTTCGATTGTGTGAGCATATTATCTTATGATTCAAGTGCAATGCAAAGGAATATTCATGAGTTTTTGGTACTTACTTAAATAGACCAAGTTTGCCGATCTCCAGATTCAAGATGCTCCAATTCCGAGAATTTTCGTAAGTAAAATAGTTGAAGGTTAAGATGAGATGAAGCTGCTTACGAATTTTCAGGTAAATGTTAATAATTTGATAAAAAGGGCTCTGTACCACGAACTATATCCTTACAATGCTTTTATATACAGTGAAGTTTTTCGACTAGTTTTTAATAACATTTTTAGTTATAAAACTTGTCTTAGGACAAAATTTATTCAATATGTTTCAATATTTCTTATCCAGAAGTGCAAACGTATTAGTCCGTGGTATAGACCCCTTTTTATCGAATTATTAACATCCGCCTGAAAATTGTGTACACTTTTGTAAAAAGTTTCATCTCATCTTAACCTAATACTATTTTATTTACAAAAACTCTTGGAATTGGGGCATTTTCAATCTGGAGGAGAGCAAACTTTATCTATTTAATTTACTAATAAAAACTCTTAAATACTCATTTGCTTCCCATTTGCATGGTAAGATAATTTGATCACAAAATATAGACGAAAAAAAAATGACACAAAAATAGTGGGTCGTTTGTCCTATATAAACTCGTTGTTTTTTTAAATTTGGAGGTATAGGTCACACCAAACGGCTCAGTATTTTTGAAGACCTTTGTTTTTCTCGATTTTGTGATCAAAGTATCTTGCGATTCAATTAGAAAGCAAATGAGTAAATACGAGTTTTTATTAGTAGCTAATTAATTAGACAAAGTTTGTCCCCCTCCAGATTGAAAATAGTTGTAGCTTACTATGAGATGAAACTATTTACGAAGTTTCAGGCGGATGTTAATAATTCTATAAAAAGGAGTCTGTACCACGGACTATATTGTTCTTGATATGCCTATATTTCGAAAACGACTTGTTCGATTTTAAGAAAAAATAAAGGAAATTTGGTAGATACTGTTTAAATGGTTTGGTATAAATTTAACGATTTTTTTAAAGAATAAATCTGTCCCCTCACTTGTTAACTAGTTTGTGTGTTGAATTTCGCTGATGTAGTTTAAACGTCTAATACGTTACGGAGTAGTATAGAATAGAATAGAAGAATCAACTTTATTCTGGGACAAAGTGCCTTGAGAATAACAATATTGTACATAAACATTAACATAGCATCTGGCCAAAATGCATATTACAATAAAAAAAAACTAAAAAAAAATAATAACAGAAGTATTTACATAACTGTACAGATATATTAAAGGCATAATATGAGCAATAAGGTCCTAATACTGCAAAATAGTTGCTATAAACAATAAACTATGAAATTTGAAATGAACGACAAATTACTTTTGTTGCCATACCATTGTATTAATGGAAAAAATAATAATAAAAGAGTGGATAAATATTTACTTTAAATGGTTTACATATGTACCTTAATATGTTCAAAGTATACAATAATAGTATTGTAAACATTATAAAAGTCCTATTATATTGTAAATCTTAAGATGTAGATTGATCGGAGAAAATAAAAGATAATATACATATGGAAGAGATTATATGTAAGTATAGCTATTGAAAGGGAGTTAAGGCAGGGCTAAACAGCTTACTAATATTATTTAGCTATTATTCCTTTATCAGAAGACACTGTTGCTGTCGCCGCTACCTGCCGCTAACCACAGCAGATCCCCAGTGAGGTAATTGCCCCAGATGAGACAGACAAAGCCCCCATTGTCGGTGAGCACCGGGCGTGGTTTCCTACCGTCATGGGAACGCTGGCTCAGGTACTGGCGAGGCCGCGAATCTAAACGTTCTTGTTATTGTCACATAGTGCATGTGTCCTTTATATGTGTATGTGAGCACATGGAGATGTGCAAAATTGATCTAAAAATAGTAAACATTTTTATGAATTGTTAGTTAAAAAGAGTGAAAAAAATAAAAGAAAGACAAAAATTATCGTTTGAATAATCCCAAAATAAAGCCTCGTGCCACTCAGATACTATTAAATAACTAACATGTTAACGCTTTGCTAATTCTGACATCATAAAAACCAGTGGCGGAATCCCAAAGTATCCATTGAGAAAAAGAAATGTGGTTGTTAAAAATATACATACTAGTACTGATATTCGTAAATAATAGTGAAAAATGTGTTATTCATTAAATAAGGAAATATTTTTTTAAAAAACTACTCATCTTGTAAAATATTTATGATTGTAAAATAATTTAAATACCTTTACTCTTCGACGTATACCTATGGCTTCCTGTCCTACAGTATCCTTTAAAAATTCCCCACTTATCCCTCTTGAACAAACTCGATACCCAGGACTCCACCTGGACAAATGACCCACTTGGAATCCTCATACGAGACTGAAACGACAAGAAACTGTTCGACATTTTCCAATACTCCATCGCTTACTATACAAACGCTCTAAACTTTCTATATATTACAAAAGACTCATATACATGACTATAATAAGGCATATTTGGACTTACGGAATTGAACTTTGCGGCTCCACTAAGCCATCGAATTCCTCTCGTATCCAATCCTTACAATCCAAAATCCTTCGTAAAATCCTCAATGCTCCAACAAATAAAATCATTCATATCGACGTTAATGTACCGATTTAGCTCGATCCAGACACCTATCCTTCCATAACAAACTTCAAAACCATCCGAACCCTCTCGTTTCAAACCCTGCCTTCTCTTCTATACCTGATAACCCTCCAAGGCGTCTGAAAAGAAGATGGCCTCGTAATCTACTTATGTAAATATATTATTAGAGTGCTACCAATGGGTAGTTTCTCAACAAGCGTTGTCATGTGATTGTTTTATTACCGTTTGCACATTTACTGGATGTATTTTTAATTTATACAGTTGTAAATCTCATAAATAAATAAAAACAATTAAGTACCTTATCCATGCCTACCAAAATCGATTTTAATTTTTTTGAGATAAGAAATAGTTATATATTCGATTTATTACAATTTTTTCCATGTATAATGTTATACTTTTTTTTAATTTTATGGTCACCTTTATAGTTTTTCTCTCAAAAACTACCTGGACCTATCTATCCATAATAAAATCATATGAATATTAATCATTTTATTTTTATTTTTTTTTTTCAACCCTCCCCTGCCTGAAGGCAATACGGGTATTTGCAGCAGCGGGATGTTACTGTTACTTAACAACCCACTGCTGCATTTTTTGGCTATTACATTATTTTTCTGAGCTGTGCAGACAGCTTGCTCTTCTCTTCACTTGCATCTGGTTTACTTTTCTTCTTATTCTGGTGCCCCCCCCCCCGGTGCAGCTTCTCTTCTTCTTCCCAAAGAGAAGTGGGTTGGTAGAACAACTTCTTTCCATCCGTATATAAAACTTTTGAAGTGATCGTATCTTTCTTTGTCCATAAGTTGAGGAAGATCTCTCTCTGTTAGGACAAAGAGACCTGTTTCTCTCAACAGTTTCGCCCTCAGTGACTCATAGACCGTACATGTAAGTACAACATGTTCAGCGGTCTCCGGTACCCCACAACTTGGGCATAGGGGATCGATATTTATACCATACTGAACGAGCTTTGCTCGGAAACCCCCATGCCCCGTGAGAATCTGTGAAATCCAGTAGTCCGGGAGGACCCAAGTCGCGAACTGACGGTGGGGAAGTACTTCCTTAGAGTAGCTCCTTTGGGAGTCGTCAACCACCGTCGGTTCCAGTCCTCTACTGTATCCTCCCGGAGAATCTTCTTCCAGTTTCTTGGATCATCTCCTATTCTCACTCGGAGGTAATCCGGTAGAGCCGCTAAGCATTCTCTCCTAATCTTATACCGGTAGTAGTCTTCTCTCAGCAGGAGGTCGAGAGGTATTCCTCCTGCCAAGACCTGCACAGCCTCATGAGACACCGTCCTGAATGATCTGGATACTCGATACTCTGATCTGGATACTCGAAGCAGAGCCATCCGCTGAATCGTGGCCAATCTACATTTCTGTCTGTGCGAGAGATTTTGGCTCCAGGCAGGGGACGCATACCTCAGGATACTCACAATAACACCTTTATAAATGGTCATAGTTGCTGGGTACCTGAGGCCCCAAAATGCGCCCCCAATACGACTGAGTCCGTTAAGGGTTAGGGCTACCCTATATGAATATTAATCAAATAAATAAACAGTATATCGACCTTCTAAGAAAATAACAATGTCCTCAATTGTTGCCTCTGAAGGTCGATGGCACATAAACCTCCCCTTCCCTTCTCTCTCAAGATATTTTTTTGCTAAACTCTTCTTAAAAACATTGCAAGCGAAAGTAGAATTAACAAAATTTGAGACCCTATCGGTGTAATTACACCTGTTGCTATGTGGTTTGAATTTTTTTTTTCAGAATGTGACCCCCTCGAAAATTTTGACGGCGCTACTTGCGGTTTGAAACCCTTCTTTGGGCACCCCTGATTTATTTTTTTTTTATTTTTTTTTTTCGCATGCATTAGTGAAAACTCTGTTGTTTTTTTTATATGTGCTGTAACGTCAAATTGATTCAAACTATTATGATGATAAAATCTTCTCCTTTATACTCTTTAAATTTTCATGTGTTGTACATCTCTGAGAAAAAAGTTATTTGAGCAATTGAAAGATAAGTAAACTTTCTACAAAATAACAAAAAATATCGCAATCGGACTATTATTAGCCAAAGTCTTATTGAACTTATAAATTTCTTTTTTGAAGTATTTCGTACGTTTTTCCAAGGAAATTCTTTCGGCTTTGTAATTTGACGAATCAACAACTATTCCTATGTCTCCTGATACATTACGTTACTGGTTTACGAATTCTTAAAAGCACTAATATTATAACTATTTGAAAATAATCAATAATTGTCTTATCATTTGCACAATTTTTCTTTCTTTGTTCCTTTATTATATTACATTATATCTATTAATGTTATCCATTATATCCATTTATGTTACGTTTCTCCCTGCAACACTTAAGGAGACAGCCCTGATGAAGGCCTGAACTTCAGGCCGAAACGTCGGCATATGTAAAAATAAATATCATTTATTTTTGCCTTCTTTTTTGACTGAACACCCCAACTATTCTTCTCTTCATTATTAATGTTATCGTTTGGAGACAAATATCCTTATTAATTTTTGAACACTATATTTTAGTATTAGGTTTCGCTACTTTTTGCACACATTCGGTACTTTTTGTGGCAGCGGTTTCACAGAGACGAGGACCCGTTCCTCGCTATTTTAAGTAGCATAAAACAATTTTGCCTTCCAAAATAAATAAGACAAAAGGAAGTGAATAATTAACTAAAAATAATTTGTATATACGTTGTTTATAGTGTTGATATTTTTTCTTTTCTAAGTAAATATGTTCTTTTAAATTTGTTTTTTTATTATTACATTAATATATTTGTCGTCAAATAAAAGTATTTTTGTTGTTATTACATTTATTTTTGTATCTGTTTAAACTTTCAATGATACGAATTTAATACGATAATACGAAGATATGAAGTAAGAGAAGGCTTATCACTGCGTTATGGGAGTTATCAGTGTTCAGGTTATAAACATTGGCAGACAGCAGTCAGTAGCGGCCGCTTAGACAAAAAGTACCTAGGTTTCTTATATTTTATTATTATATCGAAGTTTTCATAATAATTATTGAATATTTATATACGTACTAAGAAGAAAGGAATAAATTAATTAAAGAAAATATCTTAAGTAAAAGAGTATATTTATTTTATTTATAATATTACAAAGATACCTATCAAAAATCAAGCAGATGGTTTATAATATTGTTCTTTCCTAGCACTCATTCAAAAAAGATATTATCGTTTTATATGTCCAAAATATATATTTATTTATATATTTCTATTATAAACAAATTATTAATATAAATTAGTAAATATATAATAAATAATAAGCGTATTATACGTTTGCTTAAATAAGGCCTGGGATAAAAGTGAATGAATGGATCGAAGGAAGAAGAAGCTTAACCCAGTTAGAACCCAGACCCAGGTCGATAGCTGCGCTGGAGTCACCGGTGACAGACTTGTCAGTAACCGGTTATTTTAACCTGTTTCTGAATTAATGTATCTGTTAATCTGCATGAAGTACATACTTATTATTATTTTACTGTTTATTATTATGTAAATTTAAGTAGCATGAAAGTACAGAACTTAAGTTAACTCTCATTTTCAAGTATTCAATCAAGTTAACAATCTAGGTCAGTATCTTTGCAATTGATACTGATTTTATTGTTGGCTATACGTTATTTTATTGTTAGACACTATTTTCTAATCGTATATCGAATTCAATGGCGTTGTGTTGTGGTTTTTAAAGATTAAAGTGCAACCTTGGCTTTAAACCTCAATCTAAAACAAAAGCTTTCCCAAATAGGTTTTTACTTCCCCCAAAAAATTGTTACATCTTTATTCTTAATGCTGCTCAGTTATTCTTTATCGAACAAAATGAGGTTATAACGCTTAAGAGACTCTTAATTAAAATGTTTTCTTCGCTAGAAGATATTAGTTTAACTGATGATGTCTGAGTTGGCGGAACGTTTGCATGTTAACTGTGCACATGAAACTCATTATAGTTTTAATTGCTATGATGAAATATGTAAAAAAAAAAAAAAAAAAAACGCTGAAAATTATTCCACAATGGTTTATCATTTCCCAACAAGTATACATCTAAAATAACATTACCTTCCTAGTGACAAATTGAAAGAAAGAAATTAAAGTTAATTCCAATTATTTGCCTCTAAATTTCTTTTTCATCATTAGTAATTTGCTAAAAAAAAAAAAAAAAAAAAAAAAA